TTTGGTGGAACGAACATTTAAGCAAAAAACTGTGTCTCCAAGGTTGTTGTTAGCGGTCCAGTTATGACTGGACCACTTTTTTTGATAATAGTGAATATTAAAGACTACATGGACACGTTTTTAATAAAATTGCATGAGGTTATCATGCTTATTGCCATTTTTCGTACTTTCTTAACTTTGGGGGTAAAGGCTTATGGTTTTTGCCCCAAAATGGCCGGACCATTTCAATTTTGGCAAAGATGGCCCTGGTCTCCTTTACAATCTATAACTTTATTAAAAATTTGAAAAAATTGATGGTGATGTTAATGTATTTTATATCCAGAACCACACTTGATTTGGATCATTAAAAAACTCTCACACTTGAAATTGAAAGAAATACATTTCATGCACTACATAATAAGGAATTTCTACCAGGTAGATGTCCAAGTTCTCCATCAACCCATGTCAAAAGTGAGTTTAAATACTCCACAATAATTGTAAAGTTTTTTCCATACTCCCCAAAAATAGGTTCTAAGTCTTCTGCAATCTTCAAAAATCTGAAATCAACAAATTCATGAGAATTATTAGATCTACATTAAATACTCTGAGTTATGAGTACAATACTAAAATAAACAACATTATGTTAGATATACACAACTGTTTCATTTAAATTTCATATAAATTATCACTTAGATGGTTATTAAATGCAAGAGTTAAATTTAGTATTTTTAGAAGTGACAAGTTATCGCAGATTTGCTTACGTAACTGTTTACGAATCATTTGTTATGTAGTTCAATTGTTGTGAATTGACATCACATTACTCGAACCTTCTAAATTTTTCTTGTTGCTTTAAGTGAGTATTGTTACATCATAATATCTCATAGTTTGTAGAAACTTCTAGGCCTCAGTTGGGCAATATATATATATATATATATATAGGCAATCAAGGAAAGTAAGTTAGTTAGTGACAGTGAAGTTAGACTAGGTATCAGTTTAGCCATAACTAGGGATTTCTAAATTGAGTTTCACAGCTTGTATTGTAGAAACAGAAATATATATAGAGAGAGAGGATTTGTTTGTTTGTAATTAAGCACAAAGCTATACAATAGGCTATCTGTGCTCTGCCCACCAAGGGTATCAAAACCTGGATTCTAGCGTTGTAAGTCCGCAGACATACCACTGTGCCACTGGGGTGCTATATATATATATATATATATATATATATATATATATAAGTAATAATATAGTGTTACGTTAAGTTACGGTTACGTTAACGTAAACTAACCAACG